ACCAATGTTTTATCAATGTTTAAATATCACAGTATCATAGAAATAATTGATTAAGTTTGGTTAAACAACGAATGCACTGTAAAAATTCAAAAGAATCCAGGTAGTTGATGTTTATCCACCGATTTCATTAATTTTGTGGACTAAATGAAACGATGTTTCGTTCGTTTGATGTCTAACAATGCTATACACCCCTAATTTTACATAGCAATTGCCTGCTGTTTTACCCATGACCTTAAAATAATCTACATGGCTGTTTTCACACCGTTACTAGTTTTTCTTTCCTTTGCTCTCAAGGCTGAACTCTTATTGGTGGTTAACTATTTTTATCTATATGTATAATGTTTCCAAGGTCATTTACAAATGTATATTTTCAGTAATGCTGTCAACTGTTTTGACTGTTGTTGAGTCAGTAAAAAGCTCTATGTCAACTGTCTTTCTTCTCTTCTTGTCTTCACGCATCGCTGGTATTGCTGTTGTGGTGGTTGATGTTCTGATTTGCATTAGAGTCGATTCATTGCACGTTAGGTTGGTAGTCAGCTAGGCTCGTATCGCTCATAGAGTGCTAGGTCGTACCACCGGTCACAGTAAACAACTATAGTAATGGAGATAGTAAGAAGACACATTACACAAGTGGACTACTATCAGTTAATCACCTACAGATAAGACGAATTATTCTAAGTTCCTATATAACATCACTCAAACTCAAAGAGTAAACTTAAAGCCACCCATTTCATAGTTAAAACGCTGCTTCAGTAATGAACACTTCTCCTTCGCATCCTGAGCCTTATAATTTTCTAATGCTGAACAAATCAATGTATCAAGATAAGACATACCAGAACACAAAATTCATTGCAGCTTGTTTCATTAACAGTAAATTCATAAGATTGATCACACAGGAGGAGCTATAACTTTGTGGCGGTAGACGAAATTGTGAGATATTGTTCCAAAAGTATATATGAAGTAATTTTTATCCAAGTCACTTATCTCTCATCTCATGTTACGAAAGTGAAGCAATTTCATTGAAGTAAACAAGTCCTTCGTTAAACTGTACCTTAATATCTCATTATCTATTCTACATTCTTTGAAGAAACAGTATGTGATGGTTTCTTTGCAGCTAACTGATTTCTTACTCATTGATTAGTCAGTAGAGAGTAGAACATTTCACGTTTCTAGTCCTGAGTGTTGACCGTAATCCACCGACCCCTTTGCAATATGAGCACCACGCTAAGATGCTCACAATCGCAGTAGACTTTGATATATAGTTGATTGGTTGGAAGTAGTCGGTAAAAATATCTTGGACTTAGGTTTTGTGCTTATTGTCAGTAGTCAGCAGAATGTTTCTTCAACCTTGATGAAACTGATTTATTGTCTGAGATTAAAACCCACATCATCAATTACTGCAGCCAGCGACGCTATCAATGAACTATTCGGTCAGCAATTGAGATGCTTGTAGAAAACAATTTTTAAAAAGGACATGGAAGTGAAACGTTGAACGAAATGGCTTACAAGGATAGAATATAATGACCTAAGATTCGAGTAATACGTCTAACAGTAAAACCAGAAAGACAGTCGTCTACTTGCCTAGGTTGCACTTACATTGTACGTTTAAGTATTATCGAAAAGAAAGTATTTTAATGTTGACAATAGAGGGATTCTTTCAACACTCTAGTGGTGCTTTTAATTTCTCTTTTATATATTGGCGGTAGTGGACAACAATGGCATACACCACGGGCTTTTATCACCTTAAGGATCAACTAAAATTGAAATATTCAAGAATTTAGAGCATTGTAATAAGACTGCCTTAGATTCGCTATACGTAAACTCTTACCTTAGTTACTCCAAATAGTAATTCTCCACCTCCATCCTAAAACCACCGATAGAAAAATGTCATTATCTGCTACCTTGCCTCTGTTCAGATTGAAAACAGCCTTTTCAACTCAGTTGAGATTTGCAACGCCGAAATTTACTTTCCAGTCAATATCTGGCTGAATTTCAAGCAACTGGAATATGAATATCCGATAAGTAATATGATCATTTCAGTTGACTGTCCCGAGGATGAATCATTAGCCCATACATTTCGTCATTAATCGAACTAACCATAGTCTTTTGTGTGTCATTCTGTTTAATAGGCTTTAATAACTATGGAAAACTGTCCAAGACCCATATCTTTTCCATATTACCGTTATCTGAGTGCTTTATAGTCTTCACAAGGACTTTCAGTCAGTTTGTGTTTACATTGCTCAGATTACTCATTGTAATTGGAACCGGTCGACGTAAGTCTTCTCGTATGAATCCATTCATCAAATGAAACTGAAGAAATTTACTTGGTTTCAGCGGTATTCGTTTATATGTTGTTGTCTTCACTGCCATTTATACAGTAAACTAAATACTACGTCAAACTCAATCCAAATAATAATTACTATCATTTTCAGATAAATGACTAGTTAACTCCCTTCTAAACAGACACTGATATTTTGTACCCATTTAGAACTGGTTAAGTGCATACTCGAATAAATATGTGATAAAAATTTAGGCAGGTTTTCAAAAATTGCATTGACTGTCTAACAACCCTCACCAAAACAATGAATGATTCATAGGACAGATGACATCAGATACTTATTATCTCATCAAATGACTGACAGTCCATGAGAAACTTTAAGTATACACTAATGATCTAATTGAGTCTCCTACTTCCTGACAAATCTGGAATGCATCAGACACCACTGACCATGTTATACATCTATCTATCAAAGCATAGAAGTAGGTAACGATACGAAGAGCACTTGGAGTTAAACAACATCTCGTAAATCTGGGTTCTTATCAGTTTTACACAGAAGCACTTACAGATCTATAATACTACGTGATGATTGAAGGTGAGATGAAAATCTGGACCGCGGTCGGATTCAAACCAGCGACCACCGAGTTACCAGCCCGGTGCTCTAGCAACTGAGCCACGAGGTCCGACTGCTGACCAGAATTTTATTTCATTCCAATCACCAAGTGTTTTGCCCGACTACCATTTGAATTCGTGACACGTTACTACCGCTTGATCGTATTCACAGTGGCTGTCAAGTCAAGACTTCTCATTCCAATCCAAATCTAACTGAATCAGACAGGGGGGGCATCATTCGGCCGCGGTTCAGATTTTCATCTCACCTTCAATCACCACCTAGTACAAATACTAGTCTGTCGAACTACGGCTATCTCAGATAGTCAAATGAGATCTACAGTAGTTAAATCATCTGCAATATACGGGAAAATGAATAAAAACCGAACTCTTGAATAAGACAAGAAAAGATAACTTAGTATATTCAAACAAGCCTATTTATACAGGGAATTTTATGACCGAGATAAAATTTAAAATTGACTGAAATAAACTCACCAACCTTGTGCACATCTGTTGAGTAGGCTATAAGCCACACTTATTATGTGATACTACTTGGCTACCTAGACGTCGATAGGTGGGGACAGGTTCGAACCCATGACTCAGTGGTTAGAAGTCATCTCCGTAAACCAATGAGCCACAGCTCCACAATATAACTCATGCTACATTTAACCATCTGGAGTATGATGATTTTCTTTAATCAGTCAATACTTTTCATCCAAGCCGATATATTAGCAACTTATTTTATGCTGCAATTTAACGTTTGGGTACGTTTCCACCCCCCACACGCACACTACGAGTCAGTTAGACATCTGACCCTCATTTTCAGAGACCACTCCCTTATTGGTTGACTTCAGTTTTATTACATCTATGTTCTCAATTTTAGGTAAGGTTTAATATCCTATATATGTACACAAATGTTTTGACTTGTTACCGAAATAGTAAAAACTGTTTATTTAGATCTGTGTTCTTCTCATTTTAGTGTTCATCATGAACAACTGAAATTCTTGGTACTCGGAAGATTGAGTTGGAAACCTTACTGTTAGCATAGCATTGTGTATGACATAAAAGGCAATGAGACACAATAAGGCACGTCATTTGAAAAAGTGGATACTATACCCCAGTCACAACAGCATCTGAATGTGAAGCCCAATTGAACACAGTTTTATTTATCCAGTAATCCTTTTTACCTTCATTCCGCTCATATAGATTAATTGTGTATCCTATACGACAGACTGACACACTAATAGTTTCTGACTGGAGCACTGAATTACAAAATTCTTCAAGGAGAGTGCTAAACTGTAAGGATCGAAGATTCAGGACTTCTTACAGATTGTCTGTAAATGTGCAGTTCAAAACACCGATCTATGCATCAGACTGTGAAACGCATACATCTTATGACAATTAACAGGTCATGCTCATGAATTCGGATAGGATTTCTCAACGACCACGTATATAATAAAACAATAGGCTGACAATACTACTTGGCTGTAAAAACCATGTAAGTCTAGGTGGATACGAACCTGAAATCAATGGTTGAAAGTCAGACAGATGGGTAGATAAAATCAACGTAGAACCTCGCACATAAGTACATCGGCTCAAGATGCCACACTTCACAGTAGTACACAAAGAAAAGGTGAATAGAAAAAGAGTGATATCATAGTACACACAGTTGTGTGAGTGAATAGGTAATCTGAAGATAACGGCCAGTGAAAGTGAAATATTCAAATTGTAGAAGATGTCAAGGAGTGAATACATCAACACCATTGTGATTGGTTTTCAGGTATGTCACCGAGATTCCTCAACCACTGACTCCTATTGTGTCGGGGACCCCAGCCAAGCAACCTACATCTCTACACACAGCTCAGAAGAACAGTAAGATACTTCATTGACAAGTGACACATCTTGGTGTGACCATACTGAACCTTCTTCCAACCTAACCCAACTTTGTTTAGCACGGTACATCAGGGTAGCCAGTGGCTTGACAAGCGCAGTACATATCAAAGCCATCTCAATCGATTAAGATTATCAAGCTTGAAAGTCAATTGCCACCAATCTACGGATCGAAATGTCTATCTAGATTGTATCATAAAAAGAAACAAAAAACCACATTGTTACTTACTAAATGTTGATTATTTCCACATATAAACTATATGAAAGGAGTACAATTACATTAATGATGGAGTGTATTTCAAAGTAATGATCACCTAGAAAAAGTCATGCAAAACAAAAAAAAATCCCATAAAAAAGGAAGACAGTCTTTTCAATGGCAAGTCAAAGAAATACGATAGTTCACTAAGAGAGTAATACAAACAGAACTATTGTGTATACGCAGTTCTTTTCATGGTCAACACAAAAAAAGGAGACAGGAAAAGATGTTAAAATTAGGAAAACAAAAAAATAGATGATCCCAAAGAAAAACAATTCAAAATCACGACTAGGTTGGCAAAATGATCAAAAATGACCATGATAATAATGACAGTGATAATATATGTAAAGGAGAATAAACAATTTTACATGCAAAAATCAGTAAACAGATATTATTTAACACTTCAATTATCAATAACACAGCTATACGAGGAAAACAAAAAGGATTAGTGATGATAGTCACCTTCGGCTATGCAATGACATATTAAAAATATGAAATAAACTTAGGCATCATGAAAAGAAAATTAAGTGAAATAAGAGGAAATGAATATAGGTTGTATGTAATGACACAAGTACTAAATCAGTAAACTCTACAAATAAAAGATAAAATATCGAAGATGAAACAAAAATAAGTACATTTTGGAAGTGTATCCAATTAACAAGATAATGTTATTTTCATGCTGGGACACCATCATTTAAGTCTATTGTTCTAAGACCTAGTTCTATTCGTTCTGAATCATCATCCACTTCATCAGCATCCAAATGAGATGTAGGACTGCTACGATCAGAACTGTATGCACCGACACTTGGCAATGGAGTAGACTGACCAGATACTGATGGAGATGCAGGAGCTGAATATGGTCGACTAACATGGAAACTACGAGCAGATAAAGCATCATCATTATTATTAGATGTGAAAAGTTCAGGTGCAAAATTCTTTAACGCCAATAAACGAGCACGTCTGTAGTACTGAAAAGGAAAACATGTTTACAAACTTATTATCATTCGAAAAGTATATGAATTATACAACATGCTACATGTTGAGGTCAGACAAAGAGTAATGAACAAGACAAATAAGTCGATTGATGAAGTTATGAACCGTAGTCGGTTGAGATGGCTTTGATATGTACTGCGCTTGTCAAGCCACTGGCTACCCTGATGTACCGTGCTAAACAAAGTTGGGTTAGGTTGGAAGAAGGTTCAGTATGGTCACACCAAGATGTGTCACTTGTCGATGAAGTATCTTACTGTTCTTCTGAGCTGTGTGTAGAGATGTAGGTTGCTTGGCTGGGGGTCCCCGACACAATAGGAGTCAGTGGTTGAGGAATCTCGGTGACATACCTGAAAACCAATCACAATGGTGTTGATGTATTCACTCCTTGACATCTTCTACAATTTGAATATTTCATTTTCACTGGCTGTTATCTTCAGATTACCTATTCACTCACACAACTGTGTGTACTATGATATCACTCTTTTTCTATTCACCTTTTCTTTGTGTACTACTGTGAAGTGTGGCATCTTGAGCCGATGTACTTATGTGCGAGGTTCTACGTTGATTCTATCTATCTGACAAGTGTCTTTATCCAATAACACCAACAACCTCAAGATATACTATCAGTATAATTCAATTGAAGATGATGCAGCATCATTAATTAAGAGACGTGAAGGAAGATTAGAAGGTAATGATGGAGGAGGAGGATAGCAGTCAGAAGAAACTTGGGTGCTGACAGAGTTCTGAGGGCGGTTGACACTTCCCGGCTGCCCACACCGTGGAAGGCTATTTCTTCTTAAGGTACCTGAAAGAGATTTGTGTGACCGCAGAGCCCATCGGACATCTGCTTGAGGCCTGTCACACCCAGCCTTTTGAGTATGATTATTTTGAATTTTTGTATTTTTGGGGCCGGATGAGCGAAAGGAAACAACAAGTGAACCAACACCGCCGGCCCGGCAGACCGTGGGGCGTGGTGGAGTGTGTTATTTTTGGGGCCGACCTTTTCTAACCCCCCTTCCACTGAGAAGGCAGCATCAGCTTGGCACTGCTGGTCATCCAAGGGAAACACCTTACTGCTGTCACACCCCATCCAGCTAGCAGCAGTACGACTTCGCCCTCAGACCCCCATCATAGTGTAGCAATTTACACTATGACGGTAACTGCTTTTCGTCTAACCACTACCCAACAGACCTTTCTGGTATGGTAGGACCTCGAGGGAACAAGCGTTCCACCAGCATAGCTCGTTGGGTCATTGTGATATGCAAGCCCGACCACCACGTCAAGGTAGCAGCTATCGGTCGGGAATCAAATACGATCCCCTCCGACTGGTCTAAGTCACTGATCATCCCAGTCTTCAAGAAAGGCGAGAAGTCCTCTTGTGATAACCACAGAGGAATCAGCCTGACAAACATAGTGTCTAAGATCCTAAGTTCTATAATTCTCCGACGCCTGAGTGGAGCTCGGGAACAGCAAGCCCGAGAAAACCAGGCAGGCTTTAGACCTGGCCGTGGATGTATCGACCAAATATTCACACTGCGCCAGGTCCTGGAACATAGGCATGCTTACAGACGCCCGACAATAGCTGTATTTCTCGACCTGAAGGCGGCATTTGACTCCGTTGATCGAGAAGTCTTATGGCAGTGTCTGTCACTGAAAGGCGTGCCTAGTAAGTACATCACCTTATTGAAAGCTCTCTACTCGAACACTTGTGGGCATGTTAGAGCCTATGGTGAGTTGTCCAGGGAGCTATACTCATCAAGTGGTGTCCGTCAAGGATGCCCACTATCCCCATTCTTATTTAATTTTATCATAGATATTCTTATGGAGGTTTCCCTCTCGTCACCTAATTACAAAGACGTTGACCGGACCACAGGTGAATTTTCCTTAGATCTAGAATATGCAGATGACATAGTCCTGTTAGGTGAAGACGCTGACAAGATGCAGAGTCTTCTGAACACTTTGAGTGGGAATTTGAGAATGTTTGGGATGCGATTTTCACCACCCAAATGCAAATTTTTGCTCCAGGACTGGTCTTCAGCGGTACCGCGGTTAACAATAGAGAGTGAAGTGGTTGAGTGTGTTGACCACTTCACTTACCTGGGAAGTAGGATCAACTCCGGTGGGTTAGTTGCCGATGAGATTTCTGCACGGATACAAAAGGCTCGATTGGCTTTTGCCAATTTGCGCCACCTATGGCGCCGCCGTGATATTCGTTTGTCTATTAAGGGTCGCGTGTACTGCACAGCAGTCCGCTCTGTTCTACTGTATGGCTGTGAAACATGGCCATTGAAAGTGGAAGACATGAGAAGGTTACAGGTATTTGACCACCGTTGCCTTCGTAGTATAGGACGTATTCCGTGGTGTCACCATGTGAGTAATGCAGAAGTTAGGTGTAGAGTTTTAGGGAGAAGAGGTAAGTCAGTCGACGAGGTTGTGAACCTTCATCGACTGAGATGGTTGGGACACGTACTACGTATGCCTAGTCACCGATTGCCTCGTCACACAATGTTGGCTGAGGTGGGTTCAGGCTGGAAAAAGGCCCGAGGTGGCCAGACTAAAACATGGCACCAATGTATGAAGTCTCTGACTGTTGGTTTAAGCCATGTAGGACGATGCAGACTAGGTGGTTGGGGTCCACGGGACAAGAGGAACCAGTGGTTGGAGACCCTAGGTGATATGGCTCAGAACCGAAGTCAGTGGCGCAGATGTATACACACATTATCCTCATCTTAACAACGCTATACCGAATCTCACTATTTTGTCACTCCTCTTTCCTTTCTTCTCATACTTTATATTTCTTTTGACTGCATTCACTTATCTTCATCCTTCACCTCACTACCTTTTTACTTGATGTGCTGATATGAGGTGTGGCAACTCGGACCGTTACGCAGTAATGCCTGGTCCTATGTTGATAATGATGATGATGAGTATAATTCAATGACTTCCAACTACTTTGCTGAAGTCAAATGAACTCGAAAATTATGCCCACTAGAAATTACCATGGCAGCTTAAACTGATAAACGTCTGTACAACCAATAACAGTGATTAGACTATACCATATCCAAAAAAGAAAAATTCAGGTATAAAGATGACAAAAGCCTAACAATAATCAGATTCTTTGTCCAAAATAAAACACGAAAAAAGAAAAACAGTTAGATCACTTCAAAATGCAAATAAAAAGGAATTTTAAACGAACATTCAGTTAACAAAACTTTCCCAAAGGATACTGTTCTTTTCGTTTAAATATATACTAGAAATATTCACAGCATCACTAGATCATTGATGAGATATCCCTATATCGGTTTAAAACCTTATAAAATCATAAAATTATTCATATAATTCACATGAATTATCCAACATAATACGGTGGAAAAAAGTTGTGGTCTACGTGCTTACATGTTCTATAGTATGTGAAGCAACTACTAACCAGATTATAGTCTGATGAATTGAGGATACGAAAAACATTGAACTGAAAGTTACCAGGTATACACTATAAAACTCTAGAAAAATCAAAAAAACACTTTCAACTGCTGTTGAAGTGCTCCTGTACATGATAAAGTCCTCTCACTATACTTGAGATGATCATAAAATCCTACCCTCACACTAACAGACAAAATCAACGTGAACCTTGCATACACCTGCATTAGTTTGAGTTGCCATATATGACATAAGCATGCAAACAACAAGTGGATACAAAAATACAGATATCAAAGTAGACAAAAGTGAATGGGAGGAAAGTGAATTTGTAAATGAAGGTCATCAAAAATATTCAACCTTAAGAAGTTCATGTGTGGAAATATGTCCGCCCCTGCAACCGATTTGCACCTATTTCACCAAGAGTTCCCAGAACACTGAATTTTATCGTCTTGAGAAACACAATAAGATAGTCTAGACCGAAAAAAATAAGCTAAATTAACAGGTAGAGACTTTATGGATTGGTTCCATATCCTAATCAGGTCACATAGAATCTCTATGTAGTCAAGTTATACTTGAAATATAATTACACGTCAAGCAAGTTAGGCGGCGGGTCAGCATGTGTAACATATGCCTTAGCAAAATCAATCACTGAAGATTCAAGAACCTCATTGATTGACTTGCTTGTCTCCCACCCTAACCCCTCACCCTCACCCCACCACCCACCCCCACCCCCCAACGCCTCACTGACCTACTTTCATTCTCCTAACATCGACTCTCCTCACACGACAATCACACCATACATCAGCAATCCTGAAAATGGTGAAAACAAACACACCGTCAAGATGTAGCCTCTTCATATCACCTACTTTCAATAACCATGTCTCACGTCCATTATAACAAAATAAAAAGAACTGAAGAGAAAAATACTCACGTCTCTAACAGGTAGTCTATATCTCGTCAGTCCTCAACACATATCACACAAGTTCGAAAATGATAAACGACCATTCTCCATCCCACCGCAGATCTCGTCACCAAAAAACCCATTCTGTATGATATAACTGCTCAACTAAGTAACCTGACCAACTCTGCATTGACTCAATATCTCAACCTCCGAGCACACCAATATCCTCTGCATACTCAAAGTCAACCACATCCCTCCTTCTATACCACCATGTACATCAATCTCTACAAACTCACACACACCTACACTTATATCCACTATTACATCTATAACAACACCAGTCACATGAAAACTCTCAATAACACTTTACATGCATCCGCCAGTTACAGTATACAGATTCCAGTAACCCTACATACTTGCTCCTTACTCTCTTCACAGTCACACCGTCACAACATACCACTATCAACAGGACAACATGCCACTTTCATCTTAAATAATCCGGTCGATGTCGGCACCACTAGGTAAGTAAGTATGCCTGCGTTTCACAAACTATCGAAAAATGAACATCTCATGATGCTCATCTCTCCAGCTTTCAAACCTGTGTGGTTTCTTCGACTTTCATGTTATACAACTCCAGTTACACCTCCAACAAATATCACCTCTACGATCATCTTCAACATCATGTCAGTCAAACAGACTTCACCTAAATATTCTCACAACTAGACTTATCTCCTCTCTTAGAAACAGGAATGGTCAGTGATCTAGACCAGTCAGAGAGGAATACCTCAGATTCCCATACACTACCTAGTACCACTGTTACTCTAATCAACAATTTTCTACCTTCACCATTTAGACCTGTGCTCGCAATTTGTCAAGTCTCCTTGCTTTTCATCCTTTCGGATTTGAAACAGCTTTGTCATCTTCGTTTTCTTCTTCCTCTTCGCCACTCGCCAGTCAGCACTTCTCAACATCATTCAGAAGACTTCATCAATTTACATTTAAGTTGCCTTCGCTCTTCACTCTGGTCACGGTCCGATAAAATGAGTCTTCTCGCATCAATCACTTTGACTCACCTTACACAAATCCACTGACTGCCACTAACCTTTGGTTCTCGGTTACAGCTGTTTCTACACCACACTGAATATCACTCTAAGCTTCGTCAAGATGAGAATTCCTGCCACCTTCAGATAAATCCACAATTATCTCGTATCTGAATACGCACCTGAACTTCACAACTTCCAATTGAGTAAACACAACATTCATTGAGGTCTCTTTTCTGCCACCACTACGGTGCACACATACACATACCCGTAGTAACGCTCCATCGGAGTTCACACAGATACTCCACAAACAGCCCCAACCCTCCATTGATCCTCTCCAACCATGGCTCATAGCAATGTGATCTGTCCATGTCCATCGTTGGTTCGATGTCACCCCTATGTTTAGTGCTGGCCAGAAGCAAGTGATTTTCAGGACGAAATTGCAACAGACAATCACCGTTGTCAGCTCGTTGACTAGGGAGTCCGCAAATACTTCCAAGAAGCTTCCATGATTGGCTCACGTTTCCTAGTTCTTACACATTCTTTCATTTAAATAGTACACAGATGGCTGTTGACTAGTTTCCAATCAAGGAGTGTGCTTTCCGCTCCATAACTTAATATTAGTCCTACACCAGCAAGTCCATGAAAGTCCATGAAAGCTAGGAATCAAACCTCTGGACACTCGTAGAACGAATTTCGCAGTAGCCAGTTAACTTCAAATCAAAAGCCACACTTGGTTCCTGTGTACGTGTCTCATAAACGCAGTATACGTCCATTAACCGATATTCCAGAGTTTTGGCAAGAGAAGTCATATAGGGTTCGAACGTTGACAGCTTAAAAATGAAATCGACAGCGGGGTCTTAGGAAACTGTGAGTGAATTTCAATGGGTTTGATCGTTGACGTTGGTCGCAGAGTGAGAGGTTGAGTGAGTTCCAATAGGCCTAATACTGGTATGAAGAAGCAAAGTCAAAGGAAGAAACAGTGGTATGGAGAATATGCTTGTTTTAATTGAACCATGTATACTACTGGAAGCGTGAGGGCGGTTAATACTTCCCAGCTGCCATACAGTGGGAGTTATTTCTGCAAGTTACCTGAAAGACAAGAAGACTTGTGACAGCAAAGCCCAAAGGACGCTTAGCTGAAGTCTGTTACATACAGCCTTTGCGGATTGTTTCTTTGCGATTTGACTGTTCTATCGCCGGATAAAAAAAACCATACCCCTGGCACCGGAAGACTGCAGGGCAGGAAAAAGTGCTATTTTGTGGGCTGACCTTTCTACTCCCCCACCCCCCGATACAGAAAGCAGCAGCAAGGTGGTACCACTGATTATCAAAATGAAACACCTTACTGCTATCACACATCGTCCAGACAGCAGCACGAATTCATCCCCGTACCTTGTCATAGTGTAGTAATTTACAGTACAATGGCAACTGCTTTTCGTCTTACCACTTTTCAACAGATCTTACTTGCATGGTAGGATCTTGAGGAACAAGCCTTCCAGCTAATGTAGCTCGTTGGGTCATTGTGATATAAAAGTCCGACGACCACGACAAGGTAGTAGCTATCCGTTGGGACCGTAATCTGTTATATATGTTTAACTGTCTAGCAAATTAATTCGATATACCCGACTCTACATATGAAATACGCATGTAACTCACTACTTTTATATCTTAACAACCAAAGTATACCAATACAAAGAGACAGATGAAAAACAGAACGCATCGTAATTACGTATTCGTCCATATCAGCAAATGGAGGTGAAGGTTAACAAGAGGCAAAATGAAAATAAGAAACCATGTGATGAAGGATTTTGACAGTTTAATAAGAATAAAGTGGGAAGGTGCAATCAATTTCGAGCTATATATTCTCGTCTTTCACCAACAAAATCGTTAGATATCAACCGGGGGGGGGGGCCACACTTATCCACAGGACACATCATAAACAACTAACTAATCACTGAAAACCAAGGAGAGGTCAAAGATAGATAAATCAAAGTAGAACCGAACACAAAACCGCATTGGTTCAATCTGCTACACCTTAATATCATCATGCAGCGAGTGAATAGTAAGAAGAAAGACACTAAAGTAGACAAAGTTGTATGAGAGCAGGGAACCGTGGCTTACTGGTCTAGAATTTTGACGAGTTTCGGGTTCGGATGCAGTTTCACCTACTAATGTTTGGACGGCCAAATAGTGTCATTATGAACTCTCAAACAATTAGTGTGGTGCATTGCCTGGAAGTGGAACATGTATGTAGTTGCTGAGATAGTTTAGTTACTTTCATGTAGTATGAGAAGAGAGGGACAGCTCAAACAAACAGTCAACGACTCTATGGACTGGTGCCGTGTCTTGACTTCGCTACACGTAGCTTTCTTCCAACGCTATACTACTTTGGCTAACATTATCTGTAGGCAGCAGACGCCTAAGTAAAACCTTGGTTGGTGAAGGTGCACAACTACATTGACTGATTTCTCTTCTTTGTTTGATACTTTACTCTAGATCTAACCTCAACATCGCTCATATATTGGTTCCACCATATGCGCACACTGTAACAACGACGACTATGCTTAAAAACAGATAACCTCTTCTTAACCTTCATTTTCAAAGGCAATGTCTTACAGTCACACAATACGGCAGAAATGACTACTGCGCAGTATACTCATCCTTTGACAAGTTGGTAGATATTTCGCCGGCGCTATAAGTGGCACAAGTTGGCAAATATACTACAGGTCTTTAGTAGTCAAACTGAGACCTCATCAGCAACCAACTCATTTAGGTCGATGCAATTTCTCAAGCAGATGAATTGATCAGGCCGTTCTACAACCTCACTTACTATTCTTAAACTAGGAGTCTCAGAAGATCGATCTCGAAACATCGTTTGACAACTGAGAAAGAAAATGAATTTCACACTTAAGTAAAAACTTAATTTCTGTTTATCTAGCGATCAACAAAAGTAGGAAGCAAAACTATGATTACGGCGTCTACTGATAGACATATTGACTAATTTTGATTGTATTTATACTATCACTTCAGATTTTATGGATTAACGTATATAAAACTCAATCCTCGTGTATGATGTGATCACCGTGTGAGCAATGTTGAGATTAAGCAAAGGGTACTAGGTAAGAAAAGTAAGTCGACTGATGTTGTGAGGCCTTCATTGACTGAGGTGGTTTGGGCATGTGTTGCGCATGCCGAGCTACCTAGGGGAAGCTGCATTAGGTTGAAGGAGAGTTCAGGGTGGTTACACCAAGAAGTAGAACCAGTCCATGAAGTTCCTGATTGATGATCTGAGTCATGTGGGGGAGATGTAAACTATCTGGTTTGGATTCTCAAGACGATAGGAATCAGTGGTTGAAAACTCTTGGTGACATCGATAAAAATCGGTCGAAACAGTACAAATGTATTCACTCTTTGACGTCTCCTAAAGCTTGAATACTCTCACAAGGCTCCATCTTCAAATTCTTTAGTCTGTCTCACACAACTTTGTCCACTTTGATATCAATCTTATTCTATCTATCTGCCTTTGCATACTTCTATGAAGTGTGACAAGTTGGACCGATGCACCTGTGTACCAAGTTCTACGTTGATGATGGTTGCCATTTATATATATATATATATATATATATATATATATATATATATATATATATATATATATATATATATATACAGACATGCTGTAGTCTGGAAACAGTTAGAACACTTACCGATGAAAGGTTTTTCCAATCTAATAGTTCACTTAATCGTTCAGTACGATTTCGTAAAACAATACGTTGGCGTCGGGAATACTGACAGAATTCGATCAAGTACTAATTAAAAGGGAAAAATGAGAGACATGATATCTGTAACTGTAGCTAAGTTACTTTTTACTTAGAACATTAAAACTGTATGTAAATATACGCTAAAGCATGAATTCAACATTGTAAACATATTTCTATGTACAAACCTATGAGCGATACAGTTTAGTCAACTCATTTATTCGACTTAAAAAATGTACAAAAATATGAATTTTTAACAGATGTTATGCATGCATGGATGGAGGAAGCGAAATATGGAATTAATAACACAACAGAATGTCAAGTTATTGAAATGTATATTATGTTACTACATACTTTACATCCAAAGACTTCTCTCAATGAAGAAAAATCTTTTCAATAAACCACTGTGAGATTTCCATTCTAACTTGTTTTATGTCAACTTCCATAATTAGTCAAGAATTTGACAATCCTTTTGAGGTATGTGTGAAGAAAAAATCCAGTGGAATCAAACGACAAGATAGTGAAAATATAAATAATATGAGAAAAGAAGTCTACACAGACATATTTCAAACAAGCTACAATAAACTACAGTACTGCTAGCCTGTAGAAAATTGAAAAAGTATCCTCTGCTTTTCATCAAAAAGAATGTTCCAGTATTCCTGATCAAAATATGTAGTATCGAGCCAGACTATTACGATGAAGTTTCTCTAGAAAAACACAACGGAAAATCGATTGGTTTAATATTTTGCGGAAATCTCAGAAATCCCATTTCCAATTAACCATCACAATCAATTCACTAAACTATAAGGCGGTCCACAGACACATCCATATTGAATCAATCTTCAAGAAAACGAAGATATTTCACAGCCACATTACCATAGATTTCTTAAGCAAGGAAACAAACTGACCAAGTAGTTACTTCGGTGGAATCTTCGAAGTGTTTTTGATTCATAGTTGGGAAAGGATGAAAGTTTAGCTAATGTACCTAGTGCTTGATCTTCTCAGAGGTGCTCCAAGTGTACAGATATTATGATCAAGAGTTAGTTATTTCATGTCTCCGAATCTAGTTACGAAATATTCACCATCTTAACATGCAAAAGTTACTATTTATAAAATGCAGCTAAAATGATATATGGATTCGGCACTGATTTGAGCACCCAGTTAGCTTCTGAGAACTGGAAAAGTAGACTTGAACGAAATCGAATCAAAATTCACTCAGCTACCTTGTGCGTATTCGTGAGGTAAGCAATGAGTCACACCTAGTGTATGAGGCCTAATGATACTACCTGGTTGCCCAAACCTAGGTAGGTGGAGCAATGTTTGAACCCATGATCCAATCATCAAAAGTCAACTTCCGAAAGCAATGAACAATTCCATAGGCTGAAACTGAAGAAAATAACGTCTTTTGTTGCATTGCATTTAGCTACCATTGCTCCCAATCACTCCTCGAGTCTGATCTTTATTCTGTTTGGAACTTGAACCAAGTAGTTCAATGCAAAATAAGTCAATAATTTAACGGAAAAATTTAATTTTTCGCTTTTTTTTCTTTCCGATAACCTGCATAATTCGTAATGGCTACAGATGATGATAAAAAAGAAAGAGAATTGATACAAAACTAAGATTAGTGAATGTTAAGCACAGTCAAATACCTGGCATTAACACATAGATTTCTATGAAAATACCTTAGTTAACTGTTGAATACTTTCTTCACAACTTTGATAACGACGATCAACAATGTATATTCCGTAAGATTTAGGATCTTCTACGTGTTCTTCGATGAAGCAACCAAATCCAGAAAGATTTGTAGTTACAGAAGGAATACCCATTACGGTACATTCAGCTTCAAGAAATAAAGGAGAAACAATAGCTATGAATGTGGAATACTTAATGATCATCATGTTATAAAACTCAAGCTAAAATGCTTTTCAGGTTGGTATTCACCATGGACTGACATCAGTTGGAGAAACATTGAAAAGCCGAGAGCACTGGGCACTTGTTTCGTCCTAGAATGGGATTCTTAAGCAGTGCACACTCATGACACCTCCCTAGGGGTCGAACCCGGGACCTTCAAGTTACGCGGCTAGTAGGTTACCATTGGGTCGGAATACAACGGTCCATTTTTCCTACTTCTGTCAATTGACGATACAGCGTGACTTCCAAATAATGCTATCGTTGAGTATCTGTCCTCATATCCCACTTGGTTAGCTCAACCGGTCAACGGTAAGGTGCTGGCCATGGAAAGTGAAGGTCCTAGGTGCACGCTGCTGAGGATTCCCCCAGTAGGATGAAACAGCTGCCTAGTGCTCCCAGTTTTCCAATGATTCTCTAACTGATGTCAGTCAATCAATAAATTCTCATACACTTCCATATTGAAAATATGTTTCACTGCTGTCATCTACGAATCAATCTATTTTAAAAAATTCTACTCTCTTTGATACAATCAATAGGTTAAACTTTCAGTTTAGTGTATAGGTGTAGTCCGCACTGTAAACTACCTTCAATATACTAAATTTATACATTGAAAAAAAATACAATAATATTTCCATTCACATAATGAAAGGTTAAGTCTTGATGCTGTCTTTTTTCACCTGTATCGATATTTAGGCTAAGTTAGACTAAGTTCAGGTTACACGAAATTAATAAACCAATCACTTTCAGTAGTATTCATACCGCCTACACACTAAAAAATAAAACAATCTGTCAACAAAAAGAAAGACTGTTAGCTGTTTGTTTAACCTAATACAGACATAATTAATTCATAATGGGAAGATCAATGATGCCTTTAAAGCGAAGTGAAGACACGAGTGAAACAACACTGTCTACTATCACCCATGATATTCCTGATTGTAGTCAACTACATTCGATCATGCAACAAACACTGAGGAGACGCAAGAGGGGGATACGCTGGACCACCGAAAAGAACCTACAAGATTTCGGTTTCCCCAACGATCACTTATCTCTAATGTCTTGTGGCACAAACATGAAGATATACAGGCGAAAACTAACAACTTAACAGAAGAGGCAGGGCACGGCAGCGCAGCGAAGACAGGACTTCAAGTGAATATAGAGAAGACAGAGGTGATAAAGATACTCAACCAACAACAACAACAACAACTAACTCCAATCACCATCAACGGAAGTAACCTCCTTCACCTATATAGGCAGCACTCTCTCAACTACAGGTCGTGGTGGCACACACGAGGACGTCAAAGTCGGCCACGATACGAAAAACAGCAACACAGGCCTTCATTAGCCTGAAACCAGTGTGGAGATCTTCTGCACTCCACTCCACTCCACTCAGCCAGCACAAAGCGTCAACAACATCCGGATTCTCAACACCAACACCAGTCAAGTCAGTGCTTCTATGTGATCATTCAGAGACTTGGCGCATTACGAAAGGCATTTCCAACAAACTACAGACATTCATCAACAACTGCCTACGCTGCCTCCTCACTGAAGCTCAGATCACATGGCCAGAATAATAAGAATAAGCAACAACGAACTCTGGCCTACCAACGAACCAACCAACAACCTATCACCCAACAAATATGCAGAAGGAAGGAAGTGGAGATGGATTGGACTGGGCATACACTGAGAAGGCCAACTGGGGACATCACTTGTCACGACAGGTACTCGAGTGGAACCCCGATGGGAAGAGACCAGTTGGGCGTCTGAGGTGACGGTGACATGGGGGAGATGGTGTGAGGAAGAAATGGGAGGTTGTGGGCAGTCGTGGCGACGTGTTCAAAAGATTTCAGAGAAGAGAGTGCACTGGAGACGTGCTACTGAAGCTCTATGTTCCATTAGGAACCCAAGGGATAAATAAATAAATAAATAATCATAATAATATAGGCATAATAAGCACTAAGTAAAGATAAATATTCATCTTACCTGGTGTATAACCCCATGGTTCATAGTAAGAAGGAAATACACCTAAATGACAACCTCGTACAAACTCTTCATAATCCATTGGCAATAATGGATTAGTGGAACTCAAGAATTCAGGATGGAAAATTACCTTGTATGATGAAAAAGGAATAGGAAATTAAATAGAATGATATCATTCTCAAAAATCTAAACATTACTGTTTTACAATGTGTTTCATCTTAAATCGAAAAGATACGACTCAATCTTGATACAACCTTTTTGATAGAAAAAAAAGTTTACACATTATATAAACCCTATTGATCGTCTGTAGATGCTATCCAACAGAGAAAATATGCTCATACTTTTGAAAAAAAAAACGAATGAAATTCAGTAACTAACTATATACATGTTTGGGCAACTGATGATGAGGCCATACGTATTGTGTGAAGGTTAATGACTGATCAAACCTCAGTAAGTGGAGCAGGGTTAGAACACATGGCCTATCGATTGAAAATCAACTACTCTTCAATCCAATGAGACACAATTCCACTTGCCTATATACTTTCCAATAGTTTATATTTACAAGTTTAGCTCGGTAAGTTTTCTTCGGTGAATATTCTTTCAGTTAATGCTTTACAAAATACAAGAGATGGTTTAGGGTCTTGTGATTGAATCTCCACTAGGTTACCAATCTACAATAGTCTTCTAGATTGGTATGTTCATTTGGGTTATCAATCAAAGCGTGAATAACAGTCGCATTAAACACTAACAAAGAGAATGGTTACATATTAAATACCTCCATGTACTATGCAGAAAAGTTGGTAATCTATACCTTAAGTCATATGAATATTGTAGTTAGCCTTGACTGATCTCTGACTCTATATGAATGCAGTAGCGATCTGAAAATGGTACAAAACTAAATCTATCCGCTACTTATATCAGTATCAATTACTTAAGAATGCTTATTAATCAATAAGAGGAGTTGTATTACCACCTTATGGAAGTGTGAACTGATATATCTTCGAGTATATTCAATTATGATATGAGAGAAATTGAATAAATTATAAGAAATGAATTCAACAGGAAGATAAGAATAAGAACAGAAAATGTTAGACTTACCTTAACACGATCATGACGATCGTTAAATAACTGACATCGACGTAAATTACACAGAACTAAATCAATATTATCTTGAACAACATTATGTGTACAAATGGGAGGTAAATTATTTCTCTGTGTAGCGTATATACAACGTTTAAGACGGTATATATCACCCTGAAGAAAAACAAAAGGAGAATTTCGATTAGATAGTAAGTATTGTAATGTGATCATCTTAAAAATTAAATTCATACAATGTAAATTTATGTATTAGTACCTGAGTTAGTAGATCTGATCCTTGGGGAATACGTCCACGTAAACAAACTTCGAATAAACGATGTCCCATTTCACATTGAATTGAATTCACTGTTTCACGCAATTGCTTTACTATAGCTTGTGCACGAAAAGAATCAACATTGAAGCTATTTGTGTGCGCAGGAAAGATGAGAAAAGCCACAACAGTGACATCAACTTGAGCTTGCTGAAGTAAATTGAAAGTAATGCAGAGAAAAGTTGATCTTTCAAATTAAAAACAATTATTCAAAAGGAAAACTAGAAAGTCTTAGAGAATATTTTGCTGCATAAAGTTACTATCTGTACCGAACATTTTGATTCAACATATTTAGCAGGGATAATCACATTGTCTGGAAAAATTCAAATATATGTTAGCATAATATACAAATGAACATCATATTCGATAAGAAAATGCCTACTTGGAGCGATATCACTCCGATTTATGAACGTTTATTTGCATCTGATTGCTTCTCGGAATAAAACGAGAAAGGATTTATCGCAAACATCTACCAATAGTATTGAAAGACACATGGTCAAGTAACGCTGTGATATATGATAAAAAAACACACTCCTTTTCTTGTTCGTTTAACAATAACACAACCGATTATTGGAAGATTAATACTCGATAATGAAGATCAGATAGCAACGAAGAACTCACTCTGGCAACGAAGCAACCAATAATAAATCACCCAACAAATATACAAAAAGTGGAGATGGATTGCACGTACACTGAGAAGACAATTAGGGGACATCACGTGTCAGGCCAGGCCCTCAAGTGGAACCCAAATAGGAAGCGACGAGTTGGGCGTAGGAGGCGAGGATGACATGTAGGAAATAGTATGAGGAAGAAATGAGAGCTTGTGGGCTGTCGTGGAGCCAGGTTCAAAAGTTTGCCGAGAACAGATTGCAATGAACGGGTGCAACTGAAGCCTTATTTTAAATTGGAAATCACGGGAAAAATAATGATAATAATATAATACCACTCAGTAGACAGTTGTAAACAGCATCGAACGAGAAGTATTTTAGAAACTGCTTCAACACTATGAAATACCGCAAACCTTTATCAGCCTAATAACAACAACTATATGAAGACGCCACATGCCAAGTAATTCACAATGGGAAGGTCAATGATGCCTTTAAAGCGAAGTGAAGACACGAGTGAAACAACACTGTCTACTATCACCCATGATATTCCTGATTGTAGTCGACTACATTCGATCATGCAACAAACACTGAGGAGACGCAAGAGGGGGATACGCTGGACCACCGAAAAGAACCTACAAGATTTCGGTTTCCCCAACGATCACTTATCTCTAATGTCTTGTGGCACAAACATGAAGATATACAGGCGAAAACTAACAACTTAACAGAAGAGGCAGGGCACGGCAGCGCAGCGAAGACAGGACTTCAAGTGAATATAGAGAAGACAGAGGTGATAAAGATACTCAACCAACAACAACAACAACAACTAACTCCAATCACCATCAACGGAAGTAACCTCCTTCACCTATATAGGCAGCACTCTCTCAACTACAGGTCGTGGTGACACACACGAAAAGACAGCAACATAGGCCTTCATTAGCCTGAAACCAGTGTGGAGATCTTCTGCACTCCACTCCACTCCACTCAGCCAGCACAAAGCGTCAACAACATCCGGATTCTCAACACCAACACCAGTCAAGTCAGTGCTTCTATGTGATCATTCAGAGACTTGGCGCATTACGAAAGGCATTTCCAACAAACTACAGACATTCATCAACAACTGCCTACGCTGCCTCCTCACTGAAGCTCAGATCACATGGCCAGAATAATAAGAATAAGCAACAACGAACTCTGGCCTACCAACGAACCAACCAACAACCTATCACCCAACAAATATGCAGAAGGAAGGAAGTGGAGATGGATTGGACTGGGCATACACTGAGAAGGCCAACTGGGGACATCACTTGTCACGACAGGTACTCGAGTGGAACCCCGATGGGAAGAGACCAGTTGGGCGTCCGAGGTGACGGTGACATGGAGGAGATAGTGTGAGGAAGAAATGGGAGGTTGTGGGCAGTCGTGGCGACATGTTCAAAAGATTTCAGAGAAGAGAGTGCACTGGAGACGTGCTACTGAAGTTCTATGTTCCATTAGGAACCCAAGGGACAAATAGTAATAATAATAATAATAATAATAATAGACAGTTGCAAAGATGTGAAATGTGAAAGCAGAAAAGTCTAAGTATCCAATCACGAAGTATTGCTGAAGGATCTAAAATTGTCAAATGAATCGTTAAAGGTACGATCGTACCAGTCATAAGAAGTCCGAAATAAACCGAAAAATATATGCATAATTCAAATGAATTCATAACTAATGAACAAAAGAAAACTGAATGACTGGAAACGACATTAAAGAATAAAATGCCTAAATAGGTTATAATTAAACAAATAATATTCACACACACACACACCTTTAAGTGATGATTAAGACGAGCCAGTGACTCAATAAATATATCAGCACCCTTGTTTTGAAATTCATAACGTCCAGCAATAAAAAAGTATAGTGTTTTGTCCAAATCGAAATCATAATGTCTGTAGAAATAAACAAATTTTGAAGGTTATTGATAGTATAATAAAATTTCAAAATTAAATCAAGGGAATATACTAACCCATAGAAATGTCCTTGAATGAACTGATTCAATTTTTCTTTTGCTAATGCATGACGATTTTGGAATTCATGAAGAGCAGCAAATTTAATCACATTCAGACCATTTGGAGTGATAACATCTGGTTCTCTTCGTAAAAGATATTTACTTTCCAGACCAGTTATTTTACTCACGGTTGTAAATATATGTGCACAATGAACACCAGCACGTTCAAGACAATAACGATGGTAAATATTACGGTCACCAGCTTCCTACAGAAATGTAGATAAGAAAGTGAAGTGTTAAAAAAAGGCATCAATAGTATTTTACAGAAAATTTGGTCGGAACCTGACTAAATAGTCTAATACATTCAACGGTATTCAGTGCATTATTATTCATTTCTCTTCATACCATACCATACTTGAGAAGGCTTCAAGTGTTTAACCACCGTTGCCTTCGTAGTATACGCCGTATTCCATGGTGTCATCACGTAAGTAATGCAGAAGTCAGGTATAGAGTTTTAGGGAGAAGAGGTAAATCAGTAGACGAGGTTATAAACCTTCATCGATTGAGATGGTTGGGACAAGTACTACCTATACCTAGTCACCAATTGCCTCATCACACAATGTTGGCTGAGGTGGGTCCAGGCTGGAAAAAGGCCCGAGGTGGCCAGACTAAAACATGGCATCAGTGTATGAAGTCTCTGACTGTTGGTTTGAGTCATGTGGGGCGATGCAGACTAGGTGGTTGTGGTCCGAGGGACAAGAGGAACCAGTGGTTGGAAACTCTAGGTGATATGGCTCAGAACCGATGTCAGTGGCGCAGATATATACACACATTATCCTCATCTTAACAACGCTATACCGAATCTCACCATTTTCTCATTCCTGTTTTCTTTCTTCTAGTACTTTATATTTCTTTTGACTGCATTCTCTTATTTTCATCTTTTACGTCCCTACCTTTCTACGTGATGTAGTGATATGAGGTGTGGCAACTCGGGCCGTTACGCAGTAATGCCTGGTCCTATATTGATATTGATTGATTGAATGATACCAAAAACGCTTGAAATGAAACTTAAAAGCATCACATAACACGATTTGGAGGTTTGTGGGGATTAATTTATTGATGAATCTTGGATTGGTATCCATCATGGATCGACATCAGCTGGAGAAACATTGGAAACCTCGAAGCACTGGACAGCTGTTTTTTCCTGCTATGAGAGTTCTCAGCAATCCGCACCCATGGCTGCACCAGGGGTCGAACCCCGGAAGTCGCGATATATCGTGAACTGACAGAAGTATGGAATATGGAGCACTCGATTCCGACCCAGTAGCACAATAGTAACGTGCTGACTATGGAACCTGAAGCTCTTGAGTACGATACTTGTAATCCTTCATTAGCATAACAGCTCCTGTGCGGATGCCTCCATATTGCCTGAATATTTATTGTTATGATTGACTTGGTTGTGGCTAGGATAACCAGTCCCAAATAGGACGAAACGTGAATCCCAGATTCCACTCCTAGCCAAAACCAAGTCAATTATAACAATGACATTTATGCCTATATTATTATCATGTATGAACAACGTGATCTGACTTGTCATCATTCACTACTTAAACAGTCGATAACTTGTACAAGTCATGAAAGTCAAAAAATTATTAATCATTGGAACTTTACAAATATATTTTCTTTATATTCCGTTTATCCAATGCTCAACTTATACAACTCTATCAGGTCAAATTTTGATTGTGAAATTTATAAAATATAATTCAGGCAGGAAGTACAGCTAAAAAACTCTGACTTTGAATGCTTACAAAAGTAAAACCACGAGAATCCGTTTGTCACAAATAAAATTTCCCACCATCTTGATAACCCATAACCCAGTACTCTAAATTTTCAAAATCAAGTTGAGCCAAAAGTAACGGTACTAATGGCTTCTTTTTTGGAGAAATATGTCGCCTACCTGATCAAAGTCATTCCGTAAAACAATTTCTAACACCTTAAATAACATTTAACCACCTCATGCTTCGTAAATAATCTCTGTCTCTAGTAGTATATTTATCTATCTACCCAACAAGTAAACTTAGAGTGCCTCTCAAAATGTGATCGTACCACACACATTAAATGTTCCAAAGGCAAAAGTTATCAAATATGAACTTCATTTTCCCTCTAGCATAATAACCACTCCCTATGGACATGACAGTAGGACCAAATGCGCTGGCACCTTGTATACTAAACCATCAGTGAGCGGAATTGTTTCATGATATCTTAGAGGATTTAGATTGGTGCATACATATCATCTCTTAGGTAATTACAAAATTTCATCAGCCGTCAACCTAACATAACTTTATACATAAGTAAGATGAAGGTGAATCTTAGAAGTACCTAAGCCAGGTTAATGAAAGGCCAATACGTTAACTAAATCTCATGAATACGCTTATAGACTCCTGTTTCAAAGTTAATAAATTCAGGAACCTGAGAACATGAATGCAGTAATATTTTACAACATTACAAAAAAGTTAGAAGAATCAAAAACCAATGAAACAACCGAGAAAAGAAAACAAACCTTATCGAGATCAAACTTTGGAAGATGGTTATATAAGTCTACAGAAGATGCACACAAGTAACGACCCAAAAGTGTTGCATGTGTCGTGAACACTGTAGCAACCGGCAGATGACGTGTACGTGTAAATATTAGGCCAACGCTTGTCAACCATTCGTGGAAATGTGCGATAATCGGTGGTTGAGGATCTGTTTCCAATTCCTGGACATTTTCAGCAAACTAAAAGTGAAGAATAATAACCAAATGGTCCCACCGTAAGCCAAATGAACAAACTTATTACTAAGAAACACTACGTATCATAACACGTTATACAAAAGCATAAATTGTTTAGTGGTTAGGGATGACAACATTACGTAAGAAACAGTCTTTAAATGCTTCATTCTTTAAACTACTTTCAAAGGAAGCGTCTTCGGCTTTGTAAAACTTTATCCTCTACCTTAGCTTTGTTTCCACGTCATTAAACGCCAAGTGAATCAAACGGAGAACTAGATTATATCAAATAAGTCACACGATTATATCAATACATTTTTCGTTCACTACAATGAACTTTCATTGTGCACTGTAGGCATACGTGAGTTGTAATTGATAATAATAATAATAATAATAATAATAATAATAATAATAATAATAATAATAATAATAATAATAGTGATAAATAAACATTACACTTTTGTTTCACAGTTATAACTAAGAAGCTAATACTAGGCAGCCACCAAAGATTTCCATAAGAAAACGCATAATTTCAGCACCTATTGACGATTAATGTGAAAGGATTTCAGTTAATCAACATCAACACTGGACTTTGCATTACCAGTCCAAGACACCACACCTCACTTCAGTATATCAAGCAAGAAGGCGTCAAGATAAAAGAATTAAGGAAGAAGGTAGTCAAAGTGTTAAAAAATTGCGAAAAGAGAACTATAAGATATAAAACAATAATGAAATTCGTTGCGACGAAGAAAGTGAAGATAATATGTGAACATATCTAAACTACTGAGATCAATTTCGAGCAATACAGTATGGAGCATAAGATCAAGAACTTTGGGTGTACGCGAACCTCAAACAGGCATTCCAAGCATATCTACACAATATTCGAAGACTTTATGGACAAGCGCTACGCCATTGTCTCACCACCCTGGACCTCAGTTTAGTCAAATCATACTTCAGCTATGATTGTACACTGAGGTAGACGGTGGTTCAGCATCCGCAACAAATGTCTCAGTAACCTCAATCACTGAAGATTCAAAACCTCATTGACTGACTTGCTTGTCTCCAACCCTAACCCCTCACCCTCACCCCACCACCCACCTCCCAACGCCTCCCTGACCTACTTTCATTCTCCTAACATCGACTCTCCTCACACGACAATCACACTATACATCAGCAATCCTGAAAATGGTGAAAACAAACACACCGTCAAGATGTAGCCTCTTCATATCACCTACTTCCAATAACCATGTCTCACGTCCATTATAACAAAACAAAACGAACTGAAGAGAAAAATACTCACATCTCTAACAGGTAGTCTATATCTCGTCAGTCCGCAACACACATCACACAAGTTCGAAAATGATAAACGACCATTCTCCATCCCACCGCAGATCTCGTCACCAAAAAACCCATTCTGTATGATATAACTGCTCAACTAAGTAACCTGACCAACTCTGCATTGACTCAATGTCTCAACCTCCGAGCACACCAATATCCTCTGCATACTCAAAGTCAACCACATCCCTCCTTCTATACCACCATGTACATCAATCTCTACAAACTCACACACACCTACACTTATATCCACTATTACATCTATAACAACACCAGTCACATGAAAACTCTCAATAACACTTTACATGCATCCGCCAGTTACAGTACACAGATTCCAGTAACCCTACATACTTGCTCCTTACTCTCTTCACAGTCACACACCGTCACAACATATCACTATCAACAGGACAACATGCCACTTTCATCTTAAATAATCCGGTCGACATCAGCACCACTAGGTAAGTAAGTATGCCTGCGTTTCACAAACTATCGAAAAATGAACATCTCATGATGCTCATCTCTCCAGCTTTCAAACCTGTGTGGTTTCTTCAACTTTCATGTTATACAACTCCAGTTACACCTCCAACAAATATCACCTCTACGATCATCTTCAACATCATGTCAGTCAAACAGACTTCACCTAAATATTCTCACAACTAGACTTATCTCCTCTCTTAGAAACAGGAATGGTCAGTGATCTAGACCAGTCAGAGAGGAATACCTCAGATTCCCATACACTACCTAGTACCACTGTTACTCTAATCAACAATTTTCTACCTTCACCATTTAGACCTGTGCTCGCAATTTGTCAAGTCTCCTTGCTTTTCATCCTTTCGGATTTGAAACAGCTTTGTCATCTTCGTCTTCGTCTTCGTCTTCGCCACTCGCCAGTCAGCACTTCTCAACATCATTCAGAAGACTTCATCAATTTACATTTAAGTTGCCTTCGCTCTTCACTCTGGTCACGGTCCGATAGAATGAGTCTTCTCGCATCAATCACTTTGACTCACCTTACACAAATCCACTGACTGCCACTAACCTTTGGTTCTCGGTTACAGCTGTTTCTACACCACACTGAATATCACTCTAAGCTTCGTCAAGATGAGAATTCCTGCCACCTTCAGATAAATCCACAATTATCTCGTATCTGAATACGCACCTGAACTTCACAACTTCCAATTGAGTAAACACAACATTCATTGAGGTCTCTTTTCTGCCACCACTACGGTGCACACATACACATACCCGTAGTAACGCTCCATCGGAGTTCACACAGATACTCCACAAACAGCCCCAACCTTCCATCGATCCTCTCCAACCATAGCTCATAGCAATGTGATCTGTCCATGTCCATCGTTGGTTCGATGTCACCCCTATGTTTAGTGCTGGCCATAAGCAAGTGATTTTCAGGACGAAATTGCAACAAACAATCACCACTGTCGGCTCGTTGACATACAGTTCCATAAATACTCTCAAGATGTTTTCCTCAATAGCGCAGCTTTCATACTCGTGCTTTGAAGTCGTTTTCTATCATGACTGTATCTGAAAGTGTTCATTTATGTAACGAAATTGGCAGCTTTTGATGGAGTGCATCCTTTGTATCGATCAAACTGCTTTCGGTGGATGTATAGGTATAGATTACGAATAAGCATCGGTTAGTTTCACCACCTTTCCTAGTTCTTACAGATACATTCAGTCGAACAGCACACATATGGCTGTTGACTGGTATCCAATCAAGGAGTGCACTTTCCGCTCTAAAACTTAATACTATGCCTAATTCAGCGAGTCCCTGAAAGCTAGGTATTGGATCTCTGGACACTTGAAACGAGTTTTGCAGTGGTCGGGCAAGGTCAAGTGAATAGCCACACTTGGGTTCTGTATGCGTGTCTCAAAAACAGTATACACCCACCACTCGAGATTCGAGAGTTTTGGAGAGGGAGGTCTGTTTTCCAATTTAGCATAAGTTTCAGATGTAGAAAGCCCAAATGTGAAATTACCAACAGGGATTTAGGAGAATAAGAATGATGTTTCGCTGGCTTGGGCCTTTCGCAATAGTTGCAATTTGAGAAGTTTAGGAAATCGTGAGAGGTTTAACATTGATATAAGGAAGTGAAGGAGAGTTAGGAGGATGGAATGTGACAACTCAGCTTTTGTATGCTGTTCGGAGTGTGCCAGCGGTTGGGGCTTTTTGGCTGTACATACCCTGGAAGGTTTTCCTCCCAGGTACATGAACGAGAAACAGAATTTGTTCGGTGTGACGACAGAATTTTCTGCTTGAGGCCTGTCACATACGGCCTTTGAGGGACTACTGTATTGAGGTTTCATTATTTCAACGTCGGACAAGAAAAGTCCATATCATCGGCATGACAGTACAGCAAGACAGGGAAGAATGAGAAGCCTACTAAGACAACCTTTTTTAATCCCCGCTTCCATAGAGAAGGCAGCTTCAGAATGGTTCTGCTGTTCACCCCCAGAAAACAGCTTACTGCTGTCATACCCCATCTAGGCAGCAGTACGACTTCACCATTGGAGCACGCCATAAAGTAGTTATTTACATAGTGACATTAACTGCTTTTGGTCTTAATACTATCCAGCAGAAGCCTGCACGGTAATACACCAAGGAAGAAGTATTTCAGCTAGTGTAGCTCGTTAGTTAGTTGTGCTATGCAAGCCCGACCGCCATGTCAAGTCAGCAGCTGTCAGTCGGAGAACATATACACGGGCATGAGAAACACAACCCAAAAACATTTTCAAATTTCTGCTGACCATTTCCAGAATACCATTTTAGTTGATTTGTTAGATGTATCAAACAGAGTAACAGTATTATCTACTGGATTATGCCCGAAATGCAATCCAGTAGATAATACTGTTCAATTGTATGATACATTTAATAAATCCACTAAAATGTAAATAACATTCTACCACAGTGCCCAAGTTTTACTCTCACATTCCCAGAATACTCTGCATCTTGTCAAAGTTTTCATATAACAGAACTCAGTCATCTGCGTACTCTAGATATACTAAGGAATCTCCTTTGAAGGTCAATTACCATACAGCGATACGAGAAGAGGAGGATCTACATAACGACGTGAAATGTAAAATTGAATGATGGGTCATCATAGAGGAGTAAAAATGGATTACTATTAAAGGAAGCTGAATATTTTAGGAATAATGTGATAGAATAAAAGTGAATTGTCTTCAGTATCCTCCTCGTATGTCCTTTGGAGCAATTCATACGAATCAGTTATGTTTACCACATTTGTGGGACATACAGTCCGTCTTTCCTGTCGACGGCAGGATGACTTAAGCAGATATGCAAAGCTTCCTCAACGGGTTCCCTTTCATGAGAAGGGTAACTCTTTTGCACTACTTTTGCCCATTCAACCGATGTTTTATGACTTGAGTATTAGGCACGAACCGTGACGGCAGAGACTTTTCAAGTTCTTCTACTTCATATGAATTATTTGGTTGGTATTCATTTGCATCTTCGACTATGTTCAATAAGACGTGTTAGTATGTGACGTGGTGTCTCTCTAGTGCGCGCAGCACCACACTCAAAACAGTCTAATCTATATAGTGTTATTGTAACAGATATGGAAAACAGACTTTTGGCCTGAACAGGCGTGAGTACTAACGTTTCGTCAATTTATAAAAAATACCCTAACTTAGGAGGCGCCATATTTATTCCGGTGTGAACTCACGATATGGAAGTAATACAGTACTTTTTCAGTTTCCATGAGTTAATTTCTCTTTATCACCAAAATTATGGCTATTCTCTGAAGTAACTTTTCTGGATAGCTGTTTCACCTTGAGACATCCCAAACAAGTTCTTTGTCTTTCTGAGATTTCACTGAGTTTGCTACATTTAAAATCTCGTCAAGATATTTCTTTCGAGATTGGACTTAGTTTCCAGAGGGTAGGGTAATTCTAAGAAGGTATTTTCTACAATGTGTAACTTTTTGAACGACACCAATGTCAGTTGGACCTTCACTTCTACGTATGGACCAACAGTCTCCGAAAGCAAGTATTTTGGATTACGCTTCTAAACCATATGTGAATTTTATACAGTCAGAGTGCCTAATACCTCACTACAGGTTCCTGTGCTTGCACAGGTGTTCAAAAACAGCTCCTAACAATAGGTGATGTACTTTTCAGCTGAAGACACTGCCATCAGACCTCTCAACCGACGGAATTGAATGTTGTCAAAAGATACAACTACTATAAGGCGCCGGAAAATCGTGCAGGTCTTCCAGAACCTGATGGAGCGCAGGTATCTGGTTGACACACTTACGAGTAGGCCTACTTACTTTTCTTAGGTCGCCCCTTTTCGGCTTTACTTAGATGTCCGATTACCAAATAAGCTAGAATTCTAGACACTATTTTGTGAAGTTCATTCTTCTGTGGATATTACAGGTCAATGTCTCTTCCTCTTTGAAGACTGGGACAATCAGTCATCGAGAACAATCAAAAGAAAGAATATCTGGTCTTCATACGTTGGTAAACACCTTAGTTAACCTAAACAATAATCCTTAATCAATGTCCCCAAATACCTCCGGTACTGGCCCATCTGTTCTTGATATCAGAAACAATCTAAGGTAAGATATTTCATGCGCACGAAATAATGATACGACAATTACAATTACCGCCAATTCTTTAATAGTGTGTGACTGATTGATAGAACTTCCTCTTGATTTATATATAAATTTCTCTTCGAGAAATTGAATTGCCACAACCACAATAAAAAAATGAGTGATTACCTTTCTGAACAGTCTTTGAAATCCCAGTTTTATTTGTTTAACTTAGAACAGATAGATAATATAGGGAGTGACAATAACACGCGGGGACCTGTAATGACTAATCCTAATTATTCAGGCTGGACAAAAAAACACCCAGTCAGCGACCTAAATTCACTAAATATTTGATGTATCATTTGACTATATATTTGGATGTCAATAAAAATCCCTATACTCTCCTGAAAAAGCTGTGGCTTACAAAGTATCTTGTTTTGATTTTCTAAACACCCTGGGATTATATTAAAATATATTCTTATAATGATTCAATCAGACTCGACGCAGAACTTCTGCCAGGACATTCGTAATAAATATGGTTTGGATGTTTATAATATGGGGATGTTTCAGTGGTAATTGTTCGATAATTAGTGCACGTTAGTGCGAAAACGTAAACAACATACATTCATTTACACGCAAAATCGAGGTGATGATATGGAAAGACGGCTGAACATTTATCTTCTTAAATCAGAATCAAGCATTACAGTAGGATAAAAGTATGCGTAAAGAAACAAACTTTGACAATAACTATTAACTAGTTAAATCGTTTTACACTGATCAAAAGTAAGTACACCAAAAGTTTTAGTTTCGTCGTTTTACTATTATTCAGTAGCGTGGTAAAAAGACATTCATAAAACCGATTGTCTATGTGAAATGAATGTAATTAGGATTTTTAAATTCCTAAGAATGACTGCAACTGCAACTTTCAGCACCTCCAATATTACTAAGAACACCTTAATCGCAAAAAAACCAATCCAATATGAACTTACTTCTTTCAGAAACCAGGCAACAAGTCCACCAAAAATGACAGCATCATTACATTCACTATCATGAACTGGTACACCAATGTTACATGATTCCCATAGCTCCTTTTTCCATGAATCGATCCGCCAAGCAGAAGATCCTATATCAAACAAGACGACGTTGGGATAACCCTCGATAAGCCATCGACCAAAAACAATCTATGAAAAATGCATAACAGTAATAGAAGAACAAAACTATTAAATGAAATACTTGTGCCTAAAAAATGAAAATAGTAACATATTTCATAGTTGTGCAAGTGTTTTAACTCTATTAATTGCTATCAATAAACACGCCTAAAGGTTTTTGATTTAGCGCTGACGGCGTTCGAATTTTCGAAACTCTTGTCAGCCAGAAGAAACCACCGCGTTCGGGTTACTGAAATATCAAGCCCATTGAAAATGACTAAAAAGTAAATCTCTTTTAGTACTGATGAAAAGTAAGAGCGCTATTTCACAAAAAATACTGAGAAAAACAAGGTAGGAAGAAAATAAGATGTGACAGGAGAGAGTGAAATCCTTTGATTCTGGAATTAACCTAATCCTGATAAAAATGTGCGAAGTCTTAGTCTAGTTAAGTTATTGACAAGGAAGAATATAGCAAATATACTCATTATTACACAAAACAATTAGAAATTTCGCCTTCTTAATCACAGAAACTAAGATCCGACTATTAAATAATTACAAAAGATCAGTAGATCGAAGTATATTGCACCGAGACGTTACCCGGAAATCACACGCTGAAGCGCATATACATCACATAACCTTTCATTTAAAAAAGGAGTGATATAACTCAAAGTTTTCCGCATCATAGAAAATCCGCAACCGAATGAGGGGAGATAAATATAAGGAAGGAAAAAAGGAATAAATGTTTGTGACATCAAGATTTATATGAAGACATGAGGGGAATCTATCTGCATTACTGCGGCTCATATTGACCAATCCCTTAGAATTTCTAACCAGCTGTTTCGGTTGCCTCCCAGACGTACACAACTTAGATCAGAAATCAAAAGATGAATCGATGCCAGATTTTGTTCTGGATATACTGTTACAATAAACACAGTTAACTGGAGTAGACAATAACTCAAGACGTTTGGCACGTGATCCAGATGCCTGAATCGGCCTAGGTTCAAAACTCCCTAAACTAACTTGCTTCTCCTGATAAATACTCTACGCTTTAACTCTTGATTGTTCACATGGGGGATTCAATACAAGAGACGGATGCTGTGAAGGCGACGGTAGTGAAATATCTAAAACCATTAGGGATTCTCTACCCATAACTCTGTGTTCCATAGCCACTTTAAAGGATAGATGCACTGCTATGCAGTAGGTTCAGTGTTCTACAAGGGAACAAAAATCTTGCAGGTGATGACAGTGGTTTAAAATAGCAAAACAAATTGAACTTTCGGGACCCATACCAAGATTCCATCTTCTTGTTAGTGTTGTATTAAAACCGTGACTGAATAATGGATGAATAGAAGAATAGGTTAGTTTAGCGGTTCTTCAAAATGGTTGGCATAACATTCCAGTTGCCTCGCTGCTGAGTAGGATACTGGTGTGTCCTAACTGGCTAGTTTCACCAACGCTGGAGTTTGTCACACCTTTTTTCTAAAAGTATTACATAACTACCCACTATCAGCTACTCTTATCGGCAACTCTATCTCTCCAGTTTTAGTTACTGGACGTTGCTCAAACTACTTGCTAATCACTACCCAAGCTGCTTTCATTGCTCACCGTTCTCGGATTCTGTAGGAGAGCACTCACGTATATTTTCTTATTCGGGCAGAAATGTCAAGATCCATCACATTCTTCCACCTTTCTTCAGGGACGATCAAGGTGCTTACTTCTGCTTCTATATAAGACGGGAGATGGCTACAGTATTCTTCGGCATGCCCATCGAGGTCACGTTAAGATAACTGTTTACCTAGCTCCTTCCAAATTCAGTCTTAATATCTTAGCTCTCAAACCGATGTTCTAAAATCCTTCTGTTCATCACGGCATATTTTCTGTACTGCTTATATGCTCCAAAAGAGTGGAGTTTCACTACCAACCCTTTCTAATAGCAACTGACAGCGATATGGTCTTTGTTCAATCGAGTTGAAATCAGTGGCTCCGAAACCAGAGGCTATCTCTTTATATGTCTGAATTTAGTTGTGTTTAAAAATAACTGAATACCTGGACGTGGCTGTAGCCGGCGTTCACAGTTATCGACCCACTCAGCCCAGATTCCGAGAGTACCATCTAGGTGACGTACCTGGCTTTGCCGTCATACCATTGCATTGAAGCTATTACTTATGACAACCAAATCTGAGCGTTTAGCAAGTTTTAGAAAGTTAGACTTCGGTGAAACTCATTCTTCGTTTCTAATGAGTTGCAGTGAACCGATAATCAAAGATTACAAAACACGATAGTCAAACTAGATCATTTAGAGTCTTGTTTGAACAAACATGAATGGTAAACGTTTACATAATTCTAAATAGTTTAGCGAGTAGGCAATTTTATGACATTAATGGCTGCTATGAACTAGAAACTTAGAACTAAAGAAAGTACAAAATATGTCTCTTATTTAAACCAAGCAACAGAATCTGTGCTGTAGTACCATTAAAACTGATTTAGAGCTACATAAACAAGTTTAAACATTGATTTCAAACACTTCACAAAACTAAAGTGGATAATAAACGATTACTGACCGTCAGCTTCATTGTGCTCGCTACTTTGTAATTTTCACTACACCATAGCTTAGTTAGTGAAACTTCTAAAGTACTGATGAAAGAGCACCTTTAACTAATGCATACGGCCACACAGAAGAAAAAAACAGAATTAAAGTAGAGTTTTGCCCAATGAGTGTTGGCATATATCATCGAAAGTTTTGTAGACCAACAAATGTGTGTTAATGATAAGGTCTTGTTAGGTAGTCAGCCACTACATATGCACATGTTACGCTTCATGAATGTCAATAATGAAGTTGTAAACCTGCATCAACGCAAGCGGTTCAGACATATTACGCATTCCTATTCACCAGCAACTCACACCATTTTAGTTGAAGTACGCGTAGGCTGCAAAAGGGTTAGCGAGTCCCAGACTGAAAGGTGGAATCAGTAGGTGAAGTCACTGTGAGGAAAGGAATACTTAGAGATTAGGGTCTCAGTGACAAGCTGAATCGATCGTTGGAGATTCTAAATTATATGGCTCAGAGTTGATTGCATTAGTACAGATACATCCACATCTTATCTCCATGCTGACCGTTAAATCAAACTTTCTCATTTGCTTTGACTCAAATCCTCTTCGCTTTAAGTGTCTTCCACTTATTACTTTATTTCTATTGCTTTATCTTTCCACTCACTGCCAATTGTTTTGATATAGTGACACGTGAAGTGAACTTAAACCAAAAAGTAATAATGCCAGGTCACAAGTAGATACTGATTGACTGAATGAGTGACTAATTTACCTAAAGATACATGGCAATAAGTCTGTCTCCGGAGACTGCCGAAATTGCAGACCAGACATAACGCTAAAACGCATTTAATCTGCTTGCTTAAGCTTAGTATACTGTTCCATCTATGCATCAGGTGATTGGAAAGCCACGAATTTTTATAGATATTTGTGTTATGATGATTCCTCTGAGGTAATCGTAAGAGGAATTTCGTTCGTTTAAAGACGGTGAATACGGTCAATGCCTTAAAATCGTGTACTCTTGTTGTAGGTATTTGATCATCAAAACAATACTTATATGCGGTTTCACTAACTAAGCAGCCCTGATATGTTTAAGTACTACGCAGGGAAGACAAGTGTATCACTGAAACTGTAAGCCATCAACCGACATTTTTGGAGCACTACAATACTCAATAACCTGGCCTGGTTAACTAGTTCACTAGTTACTAGCCGGTCCTAAGCCCCCATAAAGAGGGAAGGTTGGGCATAGGGCTAGCAACCTTACCCCGTAAAACAAATCTAACAGCTAAAGAAACTTCAAAGCACAAACAAAATATAAAAAATAATAACAAAATTATTCCTAGCTGGAACCGGAGAGGCGAAATGATGCCAGTTGGTGAAAGCCTTCGGCCGATGTGTCTTCTCTCCTTCGGTGAGAGCGAAAGCAAACGTGGGGACATGGAATGTCGGTACAATGTTTGAACCCAACAAGGCAGCCCAGATTGTAAACGAGATGAAGAGGTATCACATCGAAGTGCTTGGAATTCGCGAAAGCAGATGAAATGGGAGTGGACTTTCCACTTTCCACTTTCAACTGGAGAATCAATAATCTTCTCCGACATTGTCACACAGACGACAACCACGAGCACACTGAGTTATGGAGTGGCTATCATGATGTCCTCAAGAGCATCGAAGGCTCTCATGCAGTGGGAACCAATCTCCTCCACGATCATGACAGCAAGGTTCAACTCAAAAGGAAGGAAGGTCACAATCATTCAGTGCAACGCTATGCACCTACAAATAATGCAGAGCAAGAGAAAAAGGAGGAATTCTACAGACAACTTCAATCAACACTGGACAAGACCACACTGCAGTTGGCGATATCAAAATTATAATGGGTGGGGCGACGTGAATGCCAAACTGGGAGGGGACAACACAGGAAGAGAACTAACCATGGGTCGAGAATCGCTCGGTGAGGTGATGAACGAGAATGGAGAATTGTTTGCAGAATTCTGTGCATTCAACGATTTGGTGATTGGAGGCCAGGTAGTGTGTTCAAGCACAAGGATATCCACAAAGCGACATGGATCTGATTTCACTAGATGGACACACTAAAAATCAAATCGACTTCATCTCAATCTCAAGAAAATGGAGACGCAGTCTACTTAACACAAGGTGAAGAAGAGGAGCAGATGTAGGTTCAGATCACTCATTATCTAGTGCAAGGAACCTTCCAAATCAAGTTAAAAGCCTTCAAGGAAGCTGGTGATAGACCTCAATTCAAGTACAACACTCGGAAACTGAAGGATGAAATTACAAAGGAGATCTTCACGGCAGCCAGCCATCAAGACAAAATGGAGATATCGAGGAACATCCGTGAAGAAACCTGTGTGGAAGAACACTGGAAGTCTTTGAAAGAGATATGGAAAGAAACCTGCACAACAGTATTAGGAAGGAAGAAGAAAGAAGACAAGGAATGGATCTCGACGGATACCTGGAAGCTGATAGAGGAGAGGAGGATGGTGATGGTGAAGCAGAAGATAAACCAGTGCAAGGATGAACAACGACAAGAGGAACTGAGTACAGTGTATAAAACACTGGACAAAGAAGTGAAGAAGAGTGCACGCAAGGACAAAAGACACTTCTACGAAACACTGGCAAGTGAAGCAGAACAGGCTGCAGGTAAGAGAGACAGAGACCTGACGACATTGTATCAAATAACCAGGTTGCTATCTGAGAGGGAAGATATCAACACAGATGAAACCAATAAAAGATGATGACGGAAATATAATTACCAAAGAAGAAAACCAAAGGAAACGATGGGCTGGCCACTTTAAGAAGCTCTTGAATCGACCACCACCACCACCTGCACTTCGTCCAGAAACACCACCTACAGCCCAGCCACAGAACTACAAGTGAACATAAATCCTCCAACGAAAATGGAAATCCTGAACGCCATTAAGCTACTGAAATGAGGGAAAGCAGAAGGACCAGATGGGATCATACCAGAAGCACTGAGAACAGACGCAGAGACAACAGCGGACATGCTCACACCACCATTGCAGAAGGTGTGGAAGGAAGAGAAGGTACCTGCCAATAGATTGGAAGAAGGGTTACCTTGTCAAACTCCCGAAGAAGGGAGACCTCAGTGTTTGCAAGAACTGGCGAGGAATCACTCTCCTGTCCACCCAAACCAAGCAAAATATTAAGCTGCATCATCCTGGAGAGACTAAAGGATGCGCTAGATTCAAAACTATGACCGGAACAGGCAGGCTGGCTGGATTCAGGAAGTACAAATCATGTGCGGACCAAATTTCAACGCTTCGCATCATCATAGAACAGAGTATAGAATGGCAGTCAACCCTCTACCTCAACTTTATCGACTTTGAAAAGGCCTTTGACAGCGTCGACCGAGAGGTAATTTGGAAACTGCTTCAATACTACGGAATACCGCAAACCTTTATCCGCCTCATTCAACAACTATGTGAAGACGCCACATGCCAAGTAATTCACAATACAAAGATCAGTGATGTTTTTGAAGTGAAGACAGGAGTGAAACAAGGTTGCCTACTATCCCCCATGATATTCCTGATTGTGGTCGACTAGGCTGGATCATGCAGGAAACAGTGGGGAGCGAGAAGAAGGGGATACACTGGACTGCGGAAAAGAACCTAGATCTAGATTTCGCCAACGATGACTTGTGCCTGATGTCACACAAACCTGAAGATCTACAGGCAAAAACTAACAAGTTGACAGAAAAGGCGAGGCTGCAAAGACGGGACTTCAGGTGAATATAGAGAAGACAGAAGTGATGAAGATACCGCACCACCACCACCAACAACAACAACAACAAACTCCAATCACCATCAATGGGAGAAACTAAAAGGAAGTAGCCTCCTTCACCTATCTAGGAAGCACTCTTAACTACAGGTGGCACAGATGAGGATGTCAAAGTCAGAGTCGGAAAAGCAAGACAGGCGTTCATTAGCCTGAGACCAGTGTGGAGATCTTCTGCACTCAGCATGTGGAACAAGATCCGGATTCTCAACACCAACGTCAGTCAAGTCAGTGCTTCTATGTGATAATTGAGAGACTTGGCGCGTTACGAAAGGCATTTCCAATAAACTACAGACATTCATCAACAACTGCTTACGCTAGCTCGTTACTGAAGATCAGATGGCCAGAACGAATAAGCAACAAGGAGCTCTGGGAACGAACCAACCAAGAATAAATCACCCAACAAATATGCATTGGAAATAATTGGAGATGGATTGGGCATACATTGAGAAGGCCGACTGGGGACATCACGCGTCAGGCCAGGTACTCGAGTGGAACCCCCATGGGAAACGACGAGTTGGACGTCCGAGGGTGACATGGAGGATATCATGCGAGGAGGAAATGAGAGCTTCTGGGCTGTCGTGGAGCCAGGTCCAAAAGATTTCGGTGAACAGAGTTCACTGAGACGTGCTACTGAAGCCCTATGTTCCATTAGGAACCCAAGGGACTAATAATAATAATAATAATAATAATAATAATAATAATAATAAACAATACTCAATATCAATTCATCACAACTTATGTAAGAGCAGGGGTAGGATGGAAGTCAACAGGACAGTTTGACAAATACATGAAAGCACTGAGAAATATCTGAATAAAGTGAAGAGAAGTTCATGATCGATATTCTTCCAAACATATTTCTTTGTGGCTATCGCCTGTATTCGTACCACTAATTTTTTTTCCCTTTTCTATATGAACTGGTTAAAGAAAACAGTGAAGCGTTTTCCTAACTCTTTCCTATGACGAACACATCAAGAAGCCTTTGAAAGTTTCAAGCCATCACCTCAGAATTTTGATGATGACAGGAAAATACATCACACTTTACTAACTTCAAAATGATTATAAGGTTTACTGCAAGTGGCTCACGTAAACTGCTTCTAGACGAACAGTCACGATCATCTGCTCAAAACGCTGTTTCCAAAACATGTGGAGATAGACAATAAGTGTCTCCTCCACCATGAGATCACAACAAAAAGTGGGACCTGAGATAGTAATATACTCCAATGCTTTATCATCTCCAGTAATGACTTTGTGAAGAGAATATTAGGAACTTCCTGCTAAATTGAGTGAAAAGAGAAGCTTGGATTCGCTGCTTAAGCAGATATGGATACATGTCACTAATTTTTATCCCCATTTTATATTCAAAAAACCGGAAACCGGTCACAGGAAGGAAATACTTTCCTATACAAGATATGGCGTTGGCTTGAGAAAATACTTCTTATATAGTGAAAACGTTGATACAAACATGGTCTTCAGGTAAACTCAGCTCACCTTTATGTCATGTTCCCGCATTGCTTCAAGTGTTCGTTTCAAAGCCTCATTAGTTGGTTCAGCAACGTCAACCTCTGTTCTCATACACACTTCATTAAGCGGCCCTATAAGCACATAACGGTCACCAAGTTCTTCAACTGTTGACGCAGCTTTGGTTCGGATAACAGTATATATTCCACCAACTGAAAAAAGGTAGAAGTGATATGATATTTTATCCAATTTATAATACACAAACAAAGTTGGTAAAGTAATCCTTACCTTTATTGACTACTTCCCAAGCGATTTCGAAAACATACTTGCTTTGATACACTTCAAGGTTTATTGATTGCACTAAGTCATTACTGACTAAGCTGTCCCTAGCAAACCGACCAACACTTGTTCGTCTGCCAACGAACGACATAGATCGCGGGTAAGAATCGTGACCCACCAAATCAACTCTTTAAGAACATTTAAAGTAACTAAACAAGTAGTCGCTTTGATCTGAGTGAAGGACAGACAAGATTCCTTTCGAAAGGAAGATTTTCCGGAGGGTGAGTCCACGTTAAATTAAAAGTGTAAGCTAAAACACTTGTCGCTTCGAAATCTAATAGTACACATGACTTTTGTGGGAGCAGCAGACTGTTTATCGAGAGTAAGTCTTTTCTTCATGAAACATGATGATACTCAATATCCAATATCTTTTTAACTAGCTTGTATAAACCAGTTGATTTCATCTTGCTCGCTTCTTGGTCTTACGGAACGGTTCCAGATCTTTGGAGGATTCCGACGCAGTAGATCCAGCCACTCGTCTGCTATAGATCTGATTTACAGAACAGGAAGTTAAGTGTTGGTTTGTTTGCCTTGGACTGTGGTTTCAGTTGTTTTCTTTAGATCTCGAGTTGCCAGACAGTTGTTCAGACTGTTCGCTAGAGAGGGTTGGGGATGGCAAAGAGAAAACCTAGAAAGTGTTTGTGTGAGTAAAAGAGGAGAGGAAAAGTGAATAAATGGAGTCATCTGCTTACACGCAAGTAGGGTGAATAGAGGTGCAAAGGTATGACGAGCTTGGGAAAATGAGGCTAACCCATGGCAAGTGGAAGGGGTGAAAAGGGTTTAAATGGTTACAATGGAAAGGAAACTGGTTGGAGTGGCTTGAAATCATTCCGTGTTCCAGCTATGTGGTGATCATACGCCTTTTCTAGTTCAGCTGATCTGTCCAATGCATTTGCAAACTGACTAAAGTGGAACCACATCCCACAGCAGTACCTAAATTTTACTCTTATTTGTACGGTAATCTTTTTGTTGTGAAATTCCAGTTTCGAGTGCACAGATTATCCAGCTTCCAATATCCGTTTAAAGAGCTTGTGCAAACCGGTTGGCTTCTTCGTGCTCGCCTCTTGATCTTGCGGAACGGTCCCAGGTTGTTGGCGTATTCCGATGCAGTGGATCCAGCCACCGGTCTGCTATAGCCCTGGTATACAGAACAGTAGGCTCGGTCTTGGTTGGCTTGCCTGGGACTGTGGTGCAGTTGGGTCCTTCAGATATTAAGCCGCCTGACAGTTGTTCGGACTGGCCGCTAGAGGGAGTTGGGGATGGTGCCTGAGTAGAAGACAAGAAAGCTAGTGTAGAGGTAGCATAATTGGAGTGGTGTGATAGCTGTTGATTCCTTCCGTCCAGTTCGTATTCCAACTAGGTGTGTGTAAACCGTGGGCCTCTGCGTAACTATCTAGCCTTTTCTTAGGACTTTCATCGGATGTGGTGGAGACTATTTCTACTGGCGGCGCATTTCAGAGTCCGCGGGCAGGAAGGGAGAAGTGTGGACGCGCACCAGTTTTTGACCTTTGGTGGGTAATTTCCTTAGAGATTACATGAGGATCACCATAGTGGCTACTGGGTAGTATTCTTCTGACTGGGTGATTTGGGTTGTTCAGTGTCCTGTAAGTCAATACCACCTCGTAACCTTCGGTAACCAAGAGGGTATAGGCCTAGGTGTTTTATTCTATCATCGTATGGTTTTTGTGCATCCCAAAACCCCTTTCGTGGCTCGTCTCCGAACCTTCTCCAGTAGGTTAATGCCTATTTTCAGTTGTGGTGGCGTGAAGATGTTATGGACCTCCAAATGGGGGCGTATGTAGGTTTGGTAGTTTCTAAATGAGCTCTGGAGTGACGGCACCCAGTTACCTGCCTCTAAAGTGTAGTATACAGCATGCTTTTTGGGCATTTCTTGGGTAATTATGAATTACAATAAGACCGATCACCTAAACAATATAAAAATCTGAAGCGTTTCGAGTTATATGTTGCTACCTGCCATCTTAACTTGACTTCATACACTGATTTCGTATAGGGAACGATTATCTAGATTTCAGATCCCAAAAATCTCCCATTCCGCTAGATGGCTTAAATCTAGCCTCCGGGAGCTTACATGAGGTGAGCATCAGTTCTTTGGCTATCAGTCTGTCTTAAATAGTTAGGATGAATTATTCTACTGTAAGGAACTACAAAATTACCGTTTTAATAGATAAGTCAGGCCGGTGAAATAATCGGGGGAAACCAGTGATAAAGCAGTAAAACAGTTTAAATCCGCTATGCAGACAGCAGACAAAAACCTTGGTTCTTCGATTAAAATGAAAAACATCAGCATTCTGTTCCCTAGGAACCGGACAGCCTATCTATTGACTTGATGACAGTGATGTTTGACTACAATTTTGGCTGGGAACTAGGCGAAAGGGGGTAATTGGTTTGACTCAGGAGATGAGAATGGAAGTATCCAAACTTAAAGCGATTAAGGTTGATGTGCCTCCCATCTTCTGATCCACGTAATTTGCTTCCTTTTAGTTGGATTATATCACGAGTACTAGTGGACTTTCAGATAGCTATTTGCTCTCGTTCACCAAAAGTTGTCTTATGGCTCCTCTTCTGTATATGCTAACAGACCGGAGGGCGGCAGTCTTAAGATTCGAATACGAGGGCGCTGTCTAACGAAGCTGCCCTAATACATGGCTGGACCCCCTAACCCACACTGTCCCTCGGATCACATGACGGCAAACGAAATGTGAACACCCCACCTAGTGCGGAATTTACCATTTTTTGAAACAAAACATGGGTCTTCAAAAACAAATAATCTTATGCAGACGCGCCTGTACAGTGAGACAGATCAGGTAGGTGGGTAAAAATAGGAATTCTTTATACACAAAACCCGTAGATTTCTTCTTCATCTGCGGCGTTTGCTTCGCAAAACTTAGCGTGCACAGACACGCACCAATCTTCCAGCTATGGTCTCCTGTGTTATTCAGAGTTATCAACACAAAAATACTAATTTTGGTGATAGTTAACGAGTTATTAGTGCATGGGAAGTATTTATTTTCCTTCTCTTCACTTCATACATTGTTCTTGCAAGGTTGGGTGATCCCTTAGGCTTTCAGAATTCTTGGCTAAGGAACCCACGGTTCAGCGAGAACTGTCCTCTGCCCTTCGCATTTAGTAGATGAAGGTTAGAAATAAGAATTTTTATCCAGCGCAGAGTGCTGTTATGCCCGTGGTCATGATATGCCAATCGGATGAAGAAGAGAAGGAGAGGGACATGATGGGAAGCGCCACTTACCCAAGAATTTCTGAAAATTACGCGAAGCACAAGAATGTATGGAGAGGACATGTAGAATAATCAGCTGCAGAGTTTACTATTGTATTCTTGGGGTATCTCTGATGTTTTGTGTAATACCTTTCCTATTTCGAACTTACCCTTGGTTACCTACATGAGTTTGGGCTTGTATATTAGGCCTACGAAAAGAAAAGAGATGGTTGCAGTAATCACCAGGTAAGGGAAGCCGCAGCGTGTTCAGTGATATTTTGAGGAGCTCATGAATAGTTATCCCTTGGTGAATTCTTTAGCGTCATGGTCCTGTTTAAATCACTGACTAGAACATGGAGAAGATTTAGGAATACAACACTGACTACCAGCCATTTGCTGCCATTCGCAAAGACTCATTTATCGCAACCGTTGGTCAAATAACCTCTGTCATACTTAGCTGTCTTTCAGCCAATGGTGGTTTCTTCCGATTTCTACCATCGGATCTTACTTTTCTCGTCGTTATGCTGTTGGTGCTATGCATCCTTAGAATCATCACCGATGTACTTGCCCCATGTGCCATTATCTTCTTTTCTTCTTGAGTTTCCATTAGCTTTGAAAGACCTTATCGCAAAGGTGACATGGGAGAGGTGCCAGATATTGCTGTTCTATTCAACGTGTACTCGGTGTCGTTTATACTGACCGTCCTATCTGTACAACGCTTTAATACGTCCAGAGACCTACAACACACTTGAGTCTCTCCTAGAAAAGAGTGGTCTCCTTGAGCCCCCACAGTTGGTACTGCCGTCTCCCACTTTAATGGTTCTTGACTCCTTGGTGCCGTGTGTTATTCTCACATTTATCTCCAGTATGCTTCCGTTGCATACTATAGTCATCTTTATACTTTTAGAGAAGCCTCGAGTCCCTTTAATAATGGTAATAATAATAATATATATTTCATACAACAAAGGTTACATGAATGCAAACCAGTTTACAGATTTGATCATTTTGGTGATGAGAAACGACTATTATGTGCAGTGTTATGCTATACATTAGATACTGTCATTTATGGCATATAGGAGGTGTGTTGAAGCAGGCTCAGTTCAAGTTCGAAGGTTATCCCGTCACCGTTTGAATCATCCGATATTCTTGAAGGTGAGGCCGCATCACAGTCATGACCTTGAGGTGTGCGCTCGTCATAACTTTTTGATGGCAATATTTCCCGCTGACGAATGCGATTTGTAGGATTCCATTTGAATGCAGGACTGGCTAGGTAAATCTGAAAAGTGAATAACAAAAGCGAGCAGCAGACGAAATTCGAAACAGGAGCACAAAAATATGCAGCAGTAGATCAACCATGGTACATCTGGGTAGGTTCTTTGTACTGACTGCAAAACTTACTTGAAGAAGTGTCCAGAACCAACTGTTTAGAGGTAAGCTAAGGTGGAAAAAGATGAAGGTGGGCATGACAATAGTGAAAATCAGTCTGAAGCTGAAGATATCACTACGAAAAGAAAGATTAGAGGATATTGGACCAGGTATTAACTTGTTATATACTTGTATACGGGCGTTTGATGAAGTTATAAACATTTAGGTGAAATCCGTGGTTTTTTTGGGACGGTAACCACCCTTTATCTGGTCACGAGGGGGATGATCATGGTGTTGTCTGTTGAGTATTACCATATCGGGTCTACCGAAACTATGTTGGTGAAGAGTACTTACATGTAAGTACTGATATCAAAGGGCGAATAATAAAGAGTTGCATGCCATGAAAATGCACCGACAGACAGTTCTTTTATCTTTTCGAAGTAGAGAGATTACTTTAAGGGACGATTTTTAGGAAATAGGTGTTAAGTCGTGAGATCAGTTAGGTTATGAGGAAAAGTAGGTTGCATTTGAGTAGCTACTGAGTTCCCTGATGCATATCATATCGCACTCCGCTTCCTGTTCACTCTCGGTCATTTTTTTTCAAAGAAATTAGATTTTAACTCAAGTATTGCGTTTAGGTTTCGGCA